TTAAACAGGGAACTTAAACATCAAACGTATTCCAAATACATTTTTAAACTATTCAAATGATGAAAGTTATTGTTGTTTTTAAGCGTTTATTAGCGAGTGAGAACGACCAACATGGCCGCCATCTATTCAAATGGGGGGGTAACCGCTGGAATATTCTTGGCTTCAATTTTACTAAAAGAGATGCACTATCTAGTGTATATAAGATATCTTTGATTAGGGAGTTGAAGCTTTGCGTTTCCGGGAACGGCAAACGGCAGGTTCGAACTTTCTTCGCAAAATTTTCGTTAAACGTTTTCGTTTCATATTTTATTTCTTGTGTCGAAAGAATTGTCATGCATTGCAGTTTTAAAACAGCAAGTTCAGAAACTCTTTATTGCCTGATTCCATAAAATGTTTCTTTGCTTGGCGTTTGCCGTTTGCCGTATAACGCGAAGACATGTTTCCCTGATGATGGCTCTGAAATAGAGTTTGGTCATCCAAATGTTTTGGCATAACTATAGCGTGAACATTTTAACTAGCGAAGTGAAAATTAACTTGGATCAGATTGTAAGAAGGATTTCAAATAAACACAAAGGAGCTGCAATAAGTGTACGTTATCGTACATTTCCCTTGATTTTGGCTTACGCCAAGCTGTTTTCTGTGTACAATCATACGTCCGAACGCCTAGTTTTGACCCCTGCAGTTATCGGAGTGACTAAATTTCTCTCTATGTATTGACCCGTATATGTTTGATAGCAAATATATGGAACGAAAACGTTTAGCAATATTTCACCACTCCCATGAAGTTTATTCGAAGTTGCTTTTCTATTTTTTATAGGAATACGTGGAGAAATCAAAATCATAGTCAAAGTTGATTTTTTTATTGATGCAAACAAGTTTCGCCAATCGTCCTGTGGAGTACAGTTTTTCACAAGTAACGTGCCACACCGTTTTTTAACACGAAGTTCCACGTGCTAGCTTTTGCAATTATATTGCTTTGCGAGAATTCGCTATTCGTTCAATGGACCATTCCCCAATTAGCCTGCGAACAGGCTCTCAAGCTGAATTGAGAGCCTGCATCGATGACGAATGAATTTGAATATCTGCTCCGTAACGTTCGTTTTTCCAAATATGGAATGCCTATCCTTATATGGTGTTGTTTACAACTTTCGTGCAAACTAAATTTAGACCGTGCAAACTAAATTTAGACCGTACAGTTTATACTGTTTTTCGAAATATAAGATATTCAAGCAAAAGTTCAAATGTTTTAAATACTGTTTTCTCAAATCAGATCATTTCGTGCTTTGAGATAAGATGGCCAAAACCAATTTGATCATTTAATGTGTTTTTTATGCATAGTGCTTCGGCAGTTAACATATATAGAGCTCAGCGGAAACATATAAATTATAGCATCTGACCAATGAGAATTTCGCGTCACGATTTGAGACGCAGATATTCAAATTCATTAGTCATCGATGCAGGCTCTCAATTCAGCTTGAGAGCCTGTTCGCAGGCTATTCCCCAATTAATCTTAACTAGCCTAAACAAAAATTTCACCACAGCTTGAAATAGCATCACAAAATTAGTAATATTCCAAAGTTTCGTTGCAAAATGTTGTAAAATGCGGATAATATAGCCTTGCGAAGTTTGTAATTTTCAGTCATTTTGTATTACGCAGACAGAAGTGGTAACCATTTCCCGTTTGTAATCTAAAATGACTGAAAATTGCAAACTTCGCAAGGCTATATTATCCGCATTTTACAACATTTTGCAACGAAACTTTGGAATATTACTAATTTTGTGATGCTCTTTCAAGCTGTGATGAAATTTTTGTTTAGACTTCTTGAGTTCAAAATTTTGGTTAATTGGGGATTGGTCCATTATCGTTTAATATTTTTTAAACAGCAAGTTCGTTATTCTCAGTTTTTTGTTGAAAAATATCATTATTCGCAATCTCTTTAGGGATGTGCCTGATCTTGGATACCGGTGTCCGGCAAAATACAGACAGCCGGCATTATCCTGTACTCCTGTATCCATAACATTTTTCATGATGTACACTGCAGCTCTTTGCTGTATATTGTGCACCGACGGCCGTGCCACAGAAATTTGTGTTTAGTGTATAGCCTATAAAGGGATATAGCACATAGTAAATGAACAATGGACTATTTTCCGAGGGAAAATTAATACTATCCAAGTGCTACAATGAGTGTCCAGTATCAAATGTCAATGACCAATCACGAGTCTTCAATAGGACCACATGCATGTCCGATATTTTACGATGCAAGACTGGGGATATTGGACAGTAGCTAATCGTAGCTTTTTTCCTGGATTATTAACCGCCTCCATTTTATTGACCGCTTTCTGTTTTCGCAATTTCAAACACAACAAACGATACAGCAAATTAATGAAAGGGATTTGGAAATTCATTAGTTTACAACAGTCGTGAGTTTAGTAAAATATAATTTTCGCGTTAAAATTGTGTCAAATCACCTTTAAAACATGCTTACAGTAATGCATGGAATTGAGTTTATTTTACACATTGTTTTTAAAAACTACTGTAGGCTATTAATATTTTTAAACGTAGGCTACATAGTTGTCTTTCAGAAAATAAAGCCTAACTTAGGCGGCAAATTTTAATACAAAAACTTCAAAATATATAAAAAAATATCAATATAATTTATCATATTTTATATTTTTATTATACAAATATTATATTTTTATATTCTTTATATTAAGTTTTTACATTAAAATTTTCCGCCTAAGTTAGGCTTTATTTTGAACAGTAGCTTTTGGCCTCATTCCAACAAACAACATTAATCTTATTATATTGGATTCATCTTTTCCCAGGAAGACAAAATATTAAGTCTCGATTTCAATAAAAGGTTCGACCTTTGGTGTCGCCCAATATTGAAGTCTCGACTTAATATTTTGCCATATTGGGCTCAGTAGAATCCAATAATTATATTATCTAGTAAATTACATGTACTATCCAGAACCTTCCGGTATCCGGCAAAGTAGGAAAAGGCACATCCATAACCTCTTCCCCTAATGTATCACAAGATTTGCTTATGTAACTCAAAATTTGACAGATAACTCAATGGATAGAGCGAAAATACGTGATCGAATTGTCCCAACTTGCGTGCTACAATCCGGGCCAAAATTCATGTGGACACTTAATCCACTTTTGCAATATCCCCCACTCCCCCTCTTCAATGTTGCATATCTGAATTATCCATGCACACTTCTTATTTAATGAAAAATCTCATTCAACATTGGCTTGGGGGAGCGGGGGATAATTATTTTGAGAAAAAGCCCGCCATTCGAGGCCAATGTCTGCATGGGTTGCCCACAACGTTTTGGCCAGGATTGTAGCTTTTCTCCTCCGTACAAAATCGAATTAAACTGTACAACCTACATTTTATGTACATCATGCATCTGGGTCTAATATACGGTGTATATTTCAATATTTCAGCTCCTTCAATTCCAAGCTGCTACAAAACTGTTGCTTTTTATGGTTTTGTTGAAGAGTTAGTTGTCAACGATGATCCGGAATATCAGGTAATGTTCTGTGGAAATCTTCATGAAATTTTTATGTAAATGCGCAAATGAACAGAAAAGTGTTCACAAAACTACACTGCAAGTTTTATGTACAACTAGAAATTTTATCTTGTAATTTTTCTTGGCTAGAAATAACTATTCTATCCTATAGACTTTGATTTGTTGCTATATAATACTGTATGAAAGATTCCAGTCGTTTTGAAGGCAATATAATTTTCTTTCTTAAGATTAATTAATGTCAAGTTTAACAAATAAAATCTTGGTAAGGTAAAACTTTATTTAAAAATCACACGATAGCCCCGTCAACTATTAGCTGATTTCCAGGAGGGAAATTATATTTATAAATACATATACACAGTAGAGTATTGTAGACCCCCAAAACATAACCCTGATAAGTCCTTTCAACTCCCATAAACCCACATACTCTTATTTATGCAAGCAGTGCTATACTGTATGTTACAGATATATTTACACCCGGGGAAACGAAAGCATTAGCGGAGTCTAAAGTTCATCAAGTATCGCGGGCGTGGGTGACCAACGGTGTTGAGTGGGTGGTCATCCTCACTGATCTCAAAGTATGGCGGACTGTCATGAATAGCGGACACTGATTGGTCCAATTTAAAGTTTGCATCATAACGACTGTATGACGACAACGAAATAGCAAACAATTCTTGATTTGATCACAGATTTGATGATTGATAAATTTCTTGCAAATATACTTCAATTTTACTCGCATTTTTGCAAGATTTTGTAAATTTCAAGATAGAAACGGCGAAAGAATCGGCTAAAAGAAGGGAGCCGACGTTAACGAAGGTAAGTTTGTGTTAAATATTGATTTTATAATTGCTTTAAAACCCGACGGCCTTTGGCCCTTTGCGTATATGAAATAACTAAACAAGACAGCATATAATTTCAGTCAATTCAGTGTATTATTAATATTGATTCCTTTTTTATTATATTCAATTTTTTTACTAAAAAGAAAGCAAAGTTATTTGCATGCGAGAATTTGAAATCATTTTGTTGCAAACTCAAAGTTTATCGATAAAGCCATTTAATTAAAGCCAGGCAATTTAGTTTTATAAAGAACGTTTTAAAACGTTTTGCGAAGCTTTTGTGGTTGAATTTTACCTTAAATTGAAGCTTATATTACGTATAATAACATACCTAACAAATATATGTTGGGAAATTGATAATTTTGTAATCAAAATTGATATTTTAGGCAATTTTTCATTTGTAAGAATATTCTTAAAAAATTATCGTGTTATTACCATGACAACAACTTTGGATACTTCATGTTTGGAAAATACAATGGTTTTGTCAGCAAGGCGAGGGTTTCTGCATGCATGTATTTTCTAGTTAAATTAATGTATTAGAAATTGTGAGTACGAATTCCTTTTTGGAATATTGGCAATGTATCCGAATTACGCAAATTTGTAGGTAGAGAATTCCAAACTTTAGCTTTATCAAAAGGTAGTTGCAGAGAGGAGCCCCTGAGGCCATGATCGAGTTTCAAGTGCTTCCCATCCTAATGCATTTATTGCTTCTAATCCAGGAGTATCATTGCTCATATTTAACAATACCCTTGCAGCTCTATTCTGAAGTGTTTGAAGTCTGTTAGCAAGACATGTACATGTACCCATGGTATCAAATACCTCACTGCAATAATCAAAGTGAAGACGGAGAAGAACATTGTGGATAGAGATCAGAGCCTCTCTATCAACGAAATTTTTTAGCCACAGCTTCAATGTGCTTGTTCCAATTAAAGTTTATCATCAATTTCAACTCCAAATACTTTGCTATTATGAACTTGTTTTATTTTGATCTGATCGATATTAATGACTGGTTGTGTGACAAGGTTATTTATTTTGTGGTCCGAACCAATCAATAGAAATTCTGTTTTTGCAACATTAAGTTTGTTTCAATTTATTAACCAAAAGCCACGCATTCTTTGTGGATATGAGATCATTATTCATGGTCAACTTAACTTTATCTATAGTCTCACCAGCTACAGTAAGGTTAGTATCGTCAGCAAATAATTAAGTAGTAGCATGGTTAAGACATTCTGGCAGGTGATTAATATATATAAAGAAGAGGAATGGATCGAGAATAGAATTCTGCGGAATACCACATTTCACGCACCTCTCAGATGACATCACGTCACCCAAATGGCATTTCTGTGAATCTTTAGTGAATGTTTGGATGGTCGGTGTTTTTGATGTTTACTGAAAACAATTTGTCAAGTTTAAATATCCCGTGTGATAAAACCGGTGGTCGCGCAAAGGTCATCGAACTTGTCTCACTCAACACACATGTAGCAAGTTGTGGTTTCAACCCATTGCATTGTTCCGACTGTCGGTGCGAGAAAATGATAATTAAGTCGATGTGATAAAGAAATTTATGAATTTAAAGTTTGTGATTTCGACGAATCAGATGTGACTATACGGCCACACAAGGAACACAGTTCTGGAACTGGAATTGTGGCCAGTTTCCTCTACGCAAGATGAAGTGTTTAAAGTGATGCAAAATAGCAAAGTATGATGTCTAATGTCATCAGAATTGAAGGAAACATGACACAACGCCAGTCATGCAAGCAGTGCTTGGGAATTGCAAGTGGAGATTGATGTTGCAATATAGGGTATACTATATACCTTTTAAATCTGTAAAAGTGTTGAACACGAGAAACACGACATGACGGCCACTCTCGGAAATGAATGAAATGTAGGATTAGAGCAAATTCAGCTATGCAGCAAGGTCACGTGATTATGACTGGTGGATATTATGGTTCATTGCCAGACAGTATTGTAGAAATAAATCTCGCTGGGTTGAATCTTAATTTAAACTACCAGTGCCGTCGTAAAAACGTCCTCCAATAACAAACAAGCGATTTATTACACAATCGTTTTTTTGTTACTGAAGAGCGTGATTACGATTGGATGTATGGTGCATGAAGTTCAGCCGACCACTCTCTATGCACGAAAGATGCAGAGCTGGGATAATGAACGACAAGGCTTTCATTATTTGTTGGCATACGACAAGATCATACAAGTGCGCAGTGTTTAATATAACAGTCGGCCATCCGGCCATTATCCGAATAAAACGCCAATATTGCTGTTTACTGATTGCTGTTTACTGATGATTTATCAATTGAAATTGCTATATTCCATTTGATTATATTGAATTGACATTCAATAGACAATAGTCGTGAAATAATTACACTATGTACTGTACAACCATTCTTTTGAGCCCTATAAGTAGTGCCCATCATATCCCTTGCAGCAGTGTCCCATCATGTCCCTTGCAGTAGTGTCCCATTATGTCCCTTGCAGTAGTGCCCCATCATGTCCCTTGCAGTAGTGTCCCATCATGTCCCTTGCAGTAGTGTCCCATCATGTCCCTTGCAGTAGTGTCCCATCATGTCCCTTGCAGTAGTGTCCCATCATGTCCCTTGCAGTAGTGTCCCATCATGTCCGACGAAAATGTGGTCGTGCATGTCCGTGCAAAATATTGTCAGACCAAGTTTTCAGAATTATATTGAACTCTGTGAATGTTCAACAGACACGGAAACGGCTAAACCGAGAGTTATAAAAGGGAGAGTTAAATTGGAGTGTTGTGATTTTGGAGATAAGAGTTAAATTCGAGCCACGCCACTTTTTCCAACGACCACACCCAATTTTTTAACTGTCCCAATGTTACCTACTAACATGGAAGAGTTATATAAATTTGCCGTCTAAACTCTCTTCCGTCAAAACGTAAAAAAATGCGAGAGAGTTCACATTTTCTTTAATCTCTGTTGTTATGATTTGGAAGCGAGAGTTCATTGGTCGAACTATTATTTTAGGGTTAATGCCAATCGTGTTATAACAAACGTACTTACAGGGAGGTACGTCTGGGATGGTACCGAGAGGGGGGGGGGGGGGATAGCTCCCCCAACCTACCGAGCCAAGCTCGGGAGGCTGGAAGTTTCTCGAACCCACCTTGCTTTGCTCGTTGAGTTCGGGAAAATTCCAGCCTCCCTCGGTGCGTCAATCCAGGACGAACCTCCCTGCAAGTGTGTTTGTTATATCGGCGAATCCGATTGGTTCAGAAGCAGGTGATTTCGGCGAAAAAACTCACCTGCTCGGAACCAATCAGAAAGCCGCTTTTGACACAGGTATGGGATAATTTTAAAATCGACTCCAAACAAAAGACCTATACACATCCTAAAACGACGTTCTTTTTAAACACTTGAGGGTTCGACAATTACTGTAGCAGGCTAGGAATCTTAGTAATTTTCTCAGTGCAATACAAAATAGACAATGTTCATTACATTGATGTAATTATCGTGTAGAAATTTGTGGTTTAAACTGACATGTTTGTATCACTGGAAAAAATTTTGAAAATCCATAGAAGGCCATAGAATTGAAATTGTATGGACCTTTATTGGAAATAGAATGGATTTTGATTGTCCATAATAATTTTATATTTCCATACCATGGATATAGTATCGAAATAGTGTGGAATGCGATATACTATGGATTTAGTGGTGCAATTGCAAATTTCATAGCATCGATTTTACATTTTTCTCCCAGTGTATCAGATAATATATGCAAATTAATTGTTTATATAGTGGATTGATAACTTTCGCACCCCAAGATCTTCGAACGAAGCTCGTCAGGGTCTTTTCCAGAAACTTTCGGGTAAGTTGATAAGTATTAACTGCGAAGTTGCGTGTACATATCATGTGATGCAGCTACTTGAAAAATAGTAGAACAGGTCTTCATCAAAAACAGTTCTGGACTGCGAAGGTTTACCGAATTTTTCGTTCACTGAACTTGTAAATAAATATGAGATCGGAGTGGACCGTATTGAATATATTAAAAAAATATTTCAAGTATCCGCGTTTTATTCCCATATCCTCTCCGTCCATCCGCTCCACAACCGCCCTTTATCCTAAACCTTGCCGATCAACCCGAGCTGTCAATGTAAATATTGAAAAGCTGTCCGGCCATTATTAGTCGTACAATTGATCGGACGTTTGCCAGACCCAACAAAAGTATTATAATGACCATTAATATCCTCCCAGATCATATGATTTTCACTAGGTCACAAATTACACTTCCCCTAAGCATTTGATGAGAGGAGAATGGCCCAGCCCAGGGACGGTTTATGAAATATGAATTTTGAAGTGTATAGCAGTACCTACATTACAGTATATAAAGGACATTGTCTAGATATAAAGTAGAATCTTACTTACAACACGAACGCGAATGTTGTAAATGGTTTGTGAAACGTCTTGATGAGAACATTCGTATTCTTCAACAATTTAAAATAAATGAGTGATATTTGTTGAGAAAATGAACTTAAAGTTTATGTAAATCAGTATGATTCTGTATATACAAACTCCTAATTCACGCTCATGATTTCGTTTGTGTTTTCTTCATGAATTATTAATGAGTTTCACAATAGAAAATACTGTACATAAAATTTTACTTACACGCATATATTGCTTCTATTTCATTTTAAATATATCAAAATGTCAACATAATTTATATATTATCTTTTAATGTAAAGTAGCAGTGGATATATGATCAATCAATAATTAAACTTAATTTCAGGTGAACTGCAAAGGAAGATTGGGCTAAAAGTACTTGATTTGGGTGGAAACGCAGTCATTGGGTAAGAATTGTAAGAATTACTTAAAACTAATGAAATATAGTACGGAACATGAAACTTGACATTTGAGAAAAGAGTGCAGGTCGGCTAGGGGCAGGGGTAGTGGTATACCAGATACCTCATACAATCGATCGAAGTACCATATCTATGCAAAGTACCCGTAAAAAGACGGCAAAAACGACTTCGTAATTTACTTTATACCAGAAATTCAGAAAATCTAAATATGCCAAATACCCATAATTTCAATGTAAATATACTGTATACCATCCTCGTTCCCAGGGTCTCTTGGCCGCGCGAGGGATACGCGGAACCGGAAGTGAAGAAAGCTTGCCGTAGTTTCTAATGCGCATTCTCTTGAATTGGGACGCTTTAGCACCTATAACAATTTTCACAGAGAAGCATAACAAAGAAATGAAGTATTTGTGTTAGAATTATTTTGCCTAGCGAAAACTGCTCAACTGCTGGAAATAGCAGTTCTCTGGGAAGCCAATCGGATCTCTCCTTTTAGTCATCTAACGCAGAGTCTAATTTTCAACGAGTGACCGAGTAAAAATGGCTCTGGGGACGAGATTGACTGTACATCTGAATTAAAGACCCATTAGATGCCGCATACCCGAACCCCCCTGTCCGACTCCAAGGTGTCAAATTTATTGTTTTGAGAGCAGTCAGGCTTATATTCCAAGTAGATTGTTGCCGTTATGGTTGGGTTTAAATTTAAGGTTATAGAATATAAGCCCATAAATATCAAAGTTTTTTCAAAACCGGTTTTTCGGATTAGAAAACCGAAAACCCGATTAAAAAATCATGAATTGCCACTCATTCACACAATATGCAAGACCTGTATGGTTTCTTACCACGAAGCTTGATCGGAATGCGGGTAACGTGTAGCCAGTCAGAAACTCGAAAATCTATTGCCGTGGTATTATATTTCGTAGCCTGTTTTTCGCATCTTTTTTAAAAAAATAATGACGTAACGAAACTCCCTTTCGAATGACGTCAAGATGACGTGGGCAGAAAACCGAAAAATCGGTTTTATCCATTGAAATGAATATAACTAGAATGCTACAGTACCTCTAACCGGAAATTTGAAACCAACTTGAAGGCCAGTCCCTGTCTTTTCACGCATGCGAAGAATGCTCAATCAGTCAATGATGATATAAACACACGTAATCTTACCTTTAAGAAAAAGATAGACAATTTATCTGAAGGTAACGTTCCAGTTATATTCATTTCAATAGTTTTATCGGGATTTTTACGTCGGTTTTCGGTTTTTGGTTTTTTCGTACCAGGTGGTCATGCATCGCTTAATTCTAAAATTGAGTGTTAAGCTGTAAATTTCTTTCACTTCCAGATACCAGCAGTATTTTGATTTGGAAGGTGAATCTGGCATTGTGGTTCGTGGTATTGGTACCTGCGTTTTTCTGCGGAAAATATATGCTACGTCTTCCCCATCTACTCCTACTAGTTTTGTTGCATCTCCGAGGGATGACACAGGCGCACCGGAATTGTAAGTACTGTATCACGAGTAGTGATGTATGGTATATTATATATGCAGTATTATACAGTAGGATAGGATGGGATAAAACTACTACCCTGGCTATTTCAACTGAAGTTGTTTTTCAAGTGGGGCGTATAGATATTAGATACTGTATGTAAAATATTTCAAAATTGTGAGAAGTACGACATTGCTAACGATGCATTATATAACAACTATGAAAATACAAAATACAAATGAATACTATTACAAAACTTATTATAAGCATGACAAAATTACTGGATGCTGATTGGTTGAGAGGAGTACAATTATTTCATTAATTGTACTGCAGTACTATTAATGATTTTCCCAAAACAAACAAAATGGCGGAAAGGTATTTTAAACACAAGCGTGAAATGAAATTGCCCTAGAGGAACTAGATGAAAATACGAACAAAAGCACCAAATTTTGCTCGAACAAAAAAACTAAATGAAAATACAAACAAAAGCACCAAATTTTGGTTGAAAGTCTGGCAGGACTGGGCTTTGGCGAGAGAATATATGATGTTAACATTGAGAGGTATCCAATTTTGCCATGCTCGTACAATGCTCGTGATGTTTGGAAATTTGCCAAATTGGACTCGCCCCGGCGGCTCGTCCAATTTTGGCAAAATTTCCAAACATCACTCGTACTATTAATCCGTAATTGTACTCGCCATCACATGATTACCTATACAAATAGTACAATAGTTAAATAGCTAATTCGTCAGACTGATACAGGAAAGACTCCTATTTCTCACTTGCGTATTTCTCACTTGTAGGCTATTCTCAGATATGTAGGCTATTCCAGATTTCTAACACCACTTTAGCGGAAACATTTTCTGCCATACTCCGTATTTAGACACGGCAGAAACGTGTGAGAGACCAAGTGTTAGAGATCATTCCTCTATGTTAAAATTCTAGCATCTCATTGTTTAAACGTTTATGACGTGGAAGTTACGAAATTTGACTCTTGACCGCCAACAGATCTGAGAATGCAATAATATTGTGGGCCATTGCAGTAACAATTAAATTGGACGTCACGCGACGTGAAATTTGTAAAGCTTGTGCAGTTTCAGAATTCGTTATTTTGGAGAGGAAGGGAGAAGTATAATGGAAAAGAAAGATTTACCCTGAAACCTTTTTTCCTTGACACTTACTGCATGTAGTATTACTAAAGTACTTTTTTCCTGTACGTGACTTCATGAAAGAAGTATAGTTTGCGATACCTATAGATAAATGGGTGGTGGACACGCATGGGAGACAAAAGCTTATATCATGTTTTATTAGTCGAAAATATTTGGGCAGATAAAATATTTAGGCAAATGGGCAGATACAATTTGCAATAACCATAATTCTATTTTATCTCCAGAGAAATGATTTATTTTCTTAGGTTATCAGCTGATCCTTCAAAATCGTTTCCACCAAATGTTCAACGAAAAAGAAGAACTTCATCGACAGATTCAGATGGCAGTTCACCTATGAAAGGTTCGTTTTGGATTGTTCAACATTTTGTCATTATTTTAAAGGAACGCACACACAGGAGGACACGAGGTCACTGGTTTCTCTCTTACATACAGTATTTGTTGTATGCGCGCCTCGACTCTTAAGATCGTTAATATGCAAGATTTACTATGCGTAATCTTCTATCTTTTCGTTTATGCTTAGATATTCAAATTTTTGCATGTTGAAGACAATAGGTTTTTGGCATAATGAAGCAATCATCAAATGGCACCCACGCTGGGCTTTATCTCCCCTGACCCCCCTCCTGACACAACGTGGAACGTTCTGTTCTCAACTAATATACCAGGCCAAAATACATGTAGTGGAATATGGAAAAAAATACACTCTGCTATTTACATGGAAACAGTCTATATCCTGTTGCCTTGGCATTTATTTAATTTTACATACTGTACATAATAGCTTAGTATGGTTCTTTTAGTTTATTATTTTTGTATGCAGTAAAACACCGGAGCTAGAAGGCCGTGTTACCACGGCCAGAACTGGAAAAACATGGCAAGATAAAAATAACTCGGCTTGTATAAAAGCGTGTAGGTTCATAAAATAGAATGTTGCTACATACCACGGACAAAATTTGCTTCTATTTATTTCGTAAAAAAGCGTGTAAAATCTAGTTTGTAGAAAGTAATTCAGGTTAATTCCGTGATGTTTTTTATGTTAGGTGTACAGTATGTACAGTGTGTATATAGCTTTTGCCCAACATTATATTAAGTCCTTTTAATGTCAGGATTACACAGATGTATGAGCATATGGCGGCCTTGTATTTGGTCGTATCACATAGAACAACCATGGACATAGTCTATTGTTGGCAAGCATTACTGGGGTTTTCAGGGCAACTGGCTGGTACACGCCCTGAAAATCTCCCAAAATCTCAAATCCCATGCAGCTAAGACCCTGATCATCCCTGATATCAAAACACTAGACTGGGTGTTGAAACATTGGCTCGTGAATGTAATTTGTTGGGAAATTGCATCATGTGTGTCGTAGTGAAATGATCATTTCTTTTTATTCAGATTGTAGTGGCAGTGGAGAGAAAGGAAGTTTAGGAACATCTTTGGGAAATTCGAGAATGCCTCGGCACACGATGGCAAGACAAAGAACAATTGACGAATTTGTAAGTTGATAATTAAACATTTTATAATAAATATAACAGGGTTCGTACAAAATCTTGCAAATCCTTAAAAGTCCTTGAATTTGGAAACAAAAAGTCAAGGCCTTGAAAGTCCTTGAGTTTATAAAGAAATGCTTGAAAGTCCCCAAATTGTCTCGCTTTAGTGGATATTTTCTGAAATTGTTTGGCATTAAGAATTGGACATTTTGTAAATTGATTTTGTTCATGTCTTACTATAAGGCCAAAGCAGTTTGAAATTCATTAAAGTTGGCATTTTAAAATCACTTTTTAACTGAGTTCTACCGCCCCCTTTTCAGTCTTTAGTTTTTGAATTTCTTGATATATGACTCTGAAAAGTCCTTGAATTTAACTCTTTCTGACCTGTACAAACCCGAATATAAAACAGGCCTTAAAATTCGGACATTGTCCGACCCATTCATCAAATTGTCCGACGTAGAGAGGAAACCACCGGACATTCTGTCCGACCTAAGTGAAACTGAGGTTTATTGTTTGTCCGACCTGAGTGTATTGCTGTCCGACCGAACTGTGGCTTTGTCCGAAGCTTTCTCCACGCACGTAAATCAAAATGTACCCTAGTCCAGAACCACAGTTTGTGTAAAAATGAACCGGAAATGTTGCGGGGCGGCGAGTGAAATGGTGAGGTGGAAAACGGGCTTAACTCTTAAGTTAATTGGCAAGCAAGTTAATTTTGGCTTGGAAATAAGTATGAATGACACAAATTATTTAATATCTTCACAACATTTAGTTCAGAATGAATACATTATGACTTATTTCCGACCCAAACTGAACTGAAGTCATCGGACATATGTCCGACCCAAACTCAAAGTCATCGGACATTTTGTCAGACGGCCCTGTAAAAGATATTTTAAGGCCTGAATATAAAAGCGAATGAGAGTTTTATGTTTTACCACTAATTTGTTGTATGTGTCGTTCAAGCTTGCAATCAAGCATATTAACCTTAACAATTGTGTCAAATAAACTACTTAACTGCCTGCTTACAGGACAGTTTTATTAAGAATAATGATTATTCTTACAAGACAGCGCTGTAAAATAATTTCATATGTATAGCCCTCTACGTCCTTTTTCAACGTAATACACCTTCGCATCTGTTAGATTTGAAGAACTTTTAATTTATATTTAGTGTTAAAATATTGAAACGTTGAAAGAGTTGTCGTGCTTAATTAAGTCGAACTTTAATATTGATTTTTTTCAGAATAATTACTTTTATGAACGTTTTAATAAAGTACCGAAGCTTTTTGACATCCCAATTAGCGAGCTATAGTTGATAGTCCGTGTGATATGTTCAAAATTATAGAAAGTAGAAGAGCATAAAAGAATGTAAGTTTGAATGTGAGGATTTTTAGAAGAAAACGGCATGGCCGCAGTTAATTCGACACAACATCCATCTTTCGCTATTACCTGTGTTGCATTTAGAATATATTTCACGTCAAATGTGAACGTCATTACTGTGCACACAACAATTTTAATTTGTAATATCTTGGTATCTGTCTTTGGAACATTGGCCAACAGTCTCGTCATAATGGCGTATTATCGTAACCCTCGTCTTCGAACAATTGAGAACACGATCTTCTTACTCCTTGCCATCACAGACATTAGCGTGAACGCTTTGGTACAACCGGTATATGTGACAGCTGGATTTAGGGTTTTGCTAGGAAAATGCGATTGCCTGGTTTGGAATATCGCTATTTTGTCAACATCATTCTTTCATGGGCTATCACTGTTAGCAATTACTATCCTTAGTTTACAGAGTTATATCACGCTAGCATATCCCTATCGTTTTCGAATGATAATAACTAAGCGTCGTTTAAAAACAATAGTAATCCTTTCTTGGCTTCTTATCTCGATTTTAACACTTGTGGCAGCAACGTTTAAATTCGTACCAGTCACCAAATATATACATCTCGGTGTTGTTATCGCAACTTTTTGTGCTGTGATTTTTACCTGGAGTTGGACATATAAACTCGTGTCTCGACATCGAAGGGTTATTGAGACCACGCAGACTCCGTCATCAAACGAATTTGTGAAAGGAAAGAAGATTCTCAGATCGACAATCACCGCTTTTGTGGTAACTTCATGTCTTTTGGGATGTCATTTCCTTGGCTTGTTGATAATTCTTTATGTATTGATTAACCGTTGGGATATCGATCACAATTTGTATATGATTCTGTTCAATACTTCAATGACATTAGTGTATTCAAACTCGCTACTCAATCCTTGTCTTCTGTTTTGGCGGAATAGCAGTTTTAAAATGGAGGCTAAGAGTATCTTCGAGAGACAAACTTCGCCACTATGAACTTCGCCATATATAGGTTGGGTCGTTTCTTAGAATAGCAAGGACGTGCTTCCGAACACATCCTGGCATGCAAATTGTCGCATGACGACTCTTTCAGATACAATAATTCTTCGAAAGCATCACAAAAGCTCACGAAATACAATATATATAAGTGGATATATATAGCTCGGAAGCTCGGATAAATATAGCTCGGAAGAGTGCTTTCCATTGGCTCGACTTTACAATTGCTTTTGTGTTCAGAACAATGACATTGCTTCGTTCTTTAGAAAATCCCATCCAATTGGAGACGACCTTCCGAGGCACTGCGAGGCTTTCCTCTGGAATGCCTGAACGTCTAAATTAAGAAATATATGGAATATATTACGTTCTAACAGTCTTCACGTAGATGACCTTCGATCGGAGATGACCTTCGATCGAAACAGTTTGCTTAACATGTAATCAGGCACGTGACTTAACCAATTCTATTGCATGTTGTGTTTAAATTGAACTATAGTATATATGTATGTATAATTATATGTTTGTGTAACAGGGTCGGTTGTATAATACTCTGAACTACTTTTTATTTTGTAGTTAAATAGTGGTTAAATAAAGTTAAAAATATAGTTAGTGTAAACTGCAGTTAAAACTATAGTTTTTATTCAATTTATTAAAAGATACCAATTTTGCAGTTAAAAACTGAATTACACTGGTTTACATGCATACGAGTAAAGATGTCTACAAACACTCCTTATTTACAAGTTGTTAACTGTGATAGTTCTAGGTAAGAATGTAGCTAAAAATTATTATTTAAAACTGGAGTTGTAGGCCTTACTACCGGCCATAATAAAACTCTTAGCAAACCTACTTGTCCTATGCTTTGGTATTGAAAGACAATTATCATTACGTAGAGAATATCCTGTTTTATGTCTTGGGGGAACGAGAGAATGGAGTTTATGGGATGATTCATCACACATTTGAGCAAAAAGTTTCTCGCAAATGGTCTTTCTCCGCAGGAACAGTGACACCACCCCACAGCACGTAGCAACGCATCTTCATATTTGAGATCAGGAAAGATTATACGAAGGGCTCTGCGTTGAATACTCTCGACCTCGTCGCTCAAATATTGCGCCAAGCTATAGTGCCATACCTCGCACGAAAATTCTAAGATTGGTCGAACGCAGGTAGTAAAAACCCGGACTAACTTGCTCGCTGGTATAGAGGCTCTCTTAAGTAATCGTAAGGCATACAATCGCTTCGAAGCTTTCTTGCAGATATAATCAACGTGCTCGGTCCATTTAAGATCTTTAGATATCATGACACCAAGTAATTTAGCATGCGGAACCACAACTATATCATGACCGTCAATGGTGATCGGCGGAAGAGCCCCGGGATCAAGAGGAGAAAACCCAACACGAACTTCTTTTGTTTTTGTAGGGTTCAGTTTCATGTTATTCTCAGACGCCCATTTAGTAGATTCTGTAATTTGAGACGGTAGGACCGAGTTGGATTCTTGACCCTTCATGACGATCTCCCAGATAATGGTGTCGTCAACAAATTTCACTGTATCGTCAGAAACATTCAAGTCGTTCACCATGATGAGGAAGAGGAGGGGGCCCAGTTTGGTTCCTTGGGGGACTCCTCCGTTGGTAGTTCTCCAATTCGAAAAATTAGAGCCAATTCTTGTTCTCTGACTTCTGTCGGTGAGGAAGTTGGCAATCCAATTAATTAGGATAGGGTGTACGCCCATGTTAATGAGTTTCTGCATCAGAATGTTGAAATCGATACGGTCAAAAGCTTTGGAAAAGTCTAGCATGCATATCCGTAGGCAGGCACCAGGTGTGTCCATCGCTTCGTACCATTTATGAAGCAGGTGTATTAGCGCCATGGTGGTGTTGGATCCTTTAATTGAGCCAAATTGGAGCTTATCGATTTGGTCGCGGATTGACTGCAAGAGCCAGTTATATGGCGTGAGCGATATCGGTCGAAAATCAGAGTCAACATCCAGAGCAGGAGAAGACTTTGCTGCAGGAATGACATTTGCAGATTTCCACAGGGACGGAACACAACCATTGAATAGAGGCATTAAATATGGATGCTAATGGGCGAGACAATAACGAGGAATTTTCACGGAGGAACCAAGGCGTGATTTCGTCAGGACCTGCAGCTGAAAAGGACTTGACGGATTGTAATGCTTCCTCGGTGTCGTCGACTGAAATGTAAAAGTCGGGAGGAAAATCACCGACTTCGAGGGGCGTCCAAGCAAGTGGAGGCAGGGAATTCCCGACGGCAACAAACTTGTCATTGAACAGGTTGGCCAGAGCCGAATCAGAATAGGGCTGTCCGTTGTACACAAGTGTGGAAACGTTTTTAGATGGGGCAAGGCCAGCAATATTTTTGACAGCGGACCACCACTTCCGTGGATTCGACTGAGTGGTATTAGCGACATTGTTGGTATAATACTTTGAGCGAGCACGCCTACACAAGTTATTAATTTTGTTCCTATAGAATCGAAACATAGGCTTGTTTCCTTTCCGCCACGTTACTTGGCGTTTCGATATTAATCTTTTTATCTCTGGAGTAATCCAGGGCTTATCGCTGCTGTCAGATTTAATACGTTTCAGCGGGAGATATTTATCAACAATACCATCGACAATGGAAGAGAAGTATTGGAACTGTTCGTCACAAGAGCTCAGATGATACATTGGAGACCAGTTAACACTGGATAGGGCTTCAGTGATTAACCTCCGATTGGAGGGACGCGCATCTCTAACCATTCGGAAAGACCGCGAGTTCTTACGATGATTCAATGGATTTAGTAAAACTGAATTATGGTCTGAGAATCCGAGTGGGGGAACAACTTCAGGAACGTCGTAAAATTTCGAAATGTTCGTGAAGATTTTATCAAGAATGTTTGATCCTCTAGTAGCATTCTTCACGATCTGTTTTAAGGAAAACGAATTGCACAGTAGGCGGTGTTTGAATTGGTTGAAGTCGCCGGTTAGGATGATGGCAGCTCCTGGGTTAGCTGTTAGAGCGCGGTCAAGGGACTCGGTAAGATAAGCCAACATGGCCCTATTGTCACTATTTGGCGGATGATAAATGGCTCCCAATACGATTGAATTAATGCCACGTGGTAGGCGTCTTGGTTTGATTAATAGCCACAAAGCTTCAAATTCAGGCTTCGAGAGATCCTTCAAATGGACTACAGGTAGACAGTTTTTCACGTAAGTGCACACGCCCCCACCTCTTCTACCATCTTCTCGATCGCGCCTAAATATAGAGAACCCACTTAAGTTTATCACTGCGCTATCAACGTTGGATGTGAGCCACGTTTCGGTGATAACTACAATGTCTGCAAGGAGATTAGAGACGGTACCAGAAAGTTCATCAATCTTATTTACTAGTGACCTCGAGTTGGACAGGAACAGGGAAGGTACGGAACTGCATGACTTTGGGGGGACTCTCTGTTGTAAGTACGTCACAGATTTTCTACATTCATCGTTCATAGGTATATTGATAAAGTTAGATCGGTGTACATTATTGTTATTTACTCTCGCGATACGCTTTGAAATTATGATCGGGATAGCACTTGATTCGTTAGGATACTTGGGTATATTACTTCCCATTAAGATATTGTTAGGCGTGAAACAAGAGTTAGCTGAGATCGGTCGGAATGATGTAATTTCGAATTGGTTCTCGTGGCTTGGCGAACAAAGTCGAGGTAACTCAGCCAATCCCTCGTTCGGGGACATCCGATATGCTGGTACGGTGGGTTCTTGGTTCGCTGACGCTTTGGAAAAGGAGATTGACTATAATCAACTGGGATTTCAACCAAAGGTAAACAAGAAAGCCACTTGGGTACTTGGGATTTAGTTCGGGGACATCCGATTTGCTGGTATGGTGGGTTCTCGGTTCGCTGACGCTTTGGAAAAGGAGATTGACTATAGTCAACTGGGATTTCAACCAAAGGTATAAACGGGAAAGCCACTCAGGTACTTGGGATTTAGAGCGGGTCGGGAGGGGCAGATCAGACTTGATTTTATTGTTAACATTTGTGCTTTGTAAGGCAGCCTTTGTATTTGGCTTCTGGCGAGGCTTATTTGTTGACCTAGTTGGGGTTTTGGGGGACCTTAATTCTTGCTCGTAAGAGGTCGAATTAGCTCTAGGGTATGGTTAACTTCCAGAGACTAGTTTAAAATGGCGCTTTTAAGAGTGACCAACGTTTTTCAGTAATACATTAATGGAAAGTAACGCTTACCTATGGGATTTTCAATCGCTATCTTCCCTGTGAAGGTTTCCCGACAGTCATATAAACTCGCTATCGCTTTTTTTTGGCGAAAAAACAGGCAAACATGAAAACGAATTAGTCATCATGGGGCAAAACATAGAAATAATAGATATAGAATGCGTACTTGATCACGAATCATGTCTCCACTTTTTGACGTGCACGCCCTTATAAATCCGCCATGTTGAATTTGACGAAGGAGTGAGAGCTACAAAGTATAAACAAAGCTAAGAAGTTTCCTTGCCCGAATATTTTGTCTTGGTGACTAAATTTGCAGTTTGAGAATAGGTTTGAAATATCATCTTTGAACACAAAAGCAAATGTAGGTGCTGCATCAATTGTGCATCTACTCGCAAAACCCGTGCTGCAAAACTCGTGCAGCCCTGCAAAAACAAAGTAATTTCGCGTGAACATAATTTGTGCTAAAACGTTTTTATGCTCGGAGCATCACAGTTTTGCTAATATCTCATAAAATTTCAAAATGATAGTTTATTATTCATCTGGGGCCGGTTGTTCAAAGCTGGCTTAGCTAGGTTAAGCTAAAATTAAAAGTAAACTTCCTGGCAGCTTGTCTATAAATTTGGAAATATTTCTTCAGAGATCTTGTCTGGATCAATAGGAGTTTACTTCTCTGAAGTTTTGAAATAAACAGACGTGTAGAAATACACGAACTAAAACAGCAGGTTAAACTTAACCCAGGGTTTTGAATTTATTAAATTCAGTATATAAATTATTACAAAATAACAATTTTTATACTAGGCAGAGTAACAATAGGACACGAAGTCCCTTACAAGGTAAACCACCTTTGAACAACCGGCCCCGCGGGTTTCGTAAATAAAGTGTTCTCATATTTTTGAAACAAAAAGTATTTAGTTGTCGATGAATATAAATCGCCAAAAATATAAAGCGTCGAAAACTGTCGTTACAAAAAAATGTTGCTTCAAGCAACGTATAGAAAAAGTAATAAGTTTAAAAAGATTGCCTGGAAAAATGTACTTTTTTGAAAAGTACTTAACTTCCTTTTTGAACAGCTTTTGTTGGTAGGGATGCAACTACCTGAAAAATATAAGGAGAAATTCGACGTTTTGAGCGAAGGCCCTTGGTCAGTCTTTAGTCCTTGAATTTTTTGATACATGGCCTTGAAAGTCCTTGAAAAATCCTTGAATTTAACTCTTTCTGACCTGTACGAACCCAGATATAAAAGCGAAAGAGAGTTTTATGTTTTACCACTAATTTGTTGTATGTGTCGTTCAAGCTTGCATGTAATCAAGCATATTAACAATTGTGTCAAATAAACTACTTAATTGCATGCTTACACGACAGTTTTATTAAGAATAATGATTATTCTTACAATTTCATATGTATAGCCCTCTACGTCCTTTTTCAACGTAATATACCTTCGCATCTGTTTGATTTGAAGAACTTTTCATTTATATTTGTTAAAATATTTTTCGTTCGGATTTCACTCGGCTTGAATACGTTGAAAGGAAAAGTTGTCTTGCCCTTAATTAAGTCGAACTTTAATGTTGATTTTTCCCGAATAATTACTTGGAAATACTATAGAACGTTTTAATAAAGTACCGGGCTCGCGAAATTTTGAAAAATCAGGTAGCCCATGCAAGTGTAGTCCACACCAAAAGTTTGGTTGCCTATATAAGACCATTTAATCACGCCAATAAAGTAACTGCATATTGTATACTTTTACTATCAATAATAGGCGGGGCAAGTTTTAAACAAAAGCCATATATCTGCATGTTCGTCCATCCAAACCATTTTATACAATCGATCCTGGTTCAATTCAGTTCACTTCATTTGACAACTCATCTTTTGCCGCGGCTTTAACACGTTGATGAAATAGCAGAACTTTAAAACTATGTTACTTATTAATCTTGGTCTTCGCTTAATGCCTAGTTGCCCGGTGGAACACAAATGAAGAGATTTGTGCCCATAGATATCTTATATACACTATATACACTAAAAGCGCATCTCTTTCAGCGGTTACCCCCATTTGAATAGATGGCTGCCATGTTGGCAGTTTCCACTCGCTAATAAACGCTTAAAAAACAACAAGAACTTTCGTCAGTTGAATAGTTTAAAAATGTATTTGGAATAGGTTTAACTTAATGTTTAAGTTCCCTGTTTAAGAAATAGAAAACATACGAATCTTCTCATTTCATGGGAATATCCTGAGTCTGCAATCACGGCTTCAATTTTTGAATTGCAGATAATTATAGATGCACTATCTAGTGTATATAAGATACCTATGTTTGTGCCTGACAGAAATTTTAACTGCCGCGGTACGTCGCGTGCAGGTGATTTTGCGAGCCCGGATAAAGCAGAACAACATTAAAGGTGACAAGTATTAAAGTCGCACAATGCAGCATAATGCAAACAATACCGCTTTACACTTATTATAATTAAGTGGACGAAGTTTTTTGACATCCCAATTAGCGAGCTAGTTGATAGTCCGTATGATATGTTCACAATTATAGAAAGTAGAAGAGCATACAGGAATGAAAGTTTGAATCTGAGGATTTTTAGAAGAAAACATGGCCGCAGTTAATTCGACACAACATCCATCTTTCGCTATTACCTGTGTTGCATTTAGAATATATTTCACGTCAAATGTGAAAGTCATTACTGTGCACACTGTTATTTTAATTTGTAATATCTTGATATCTGTCTTTGGAACATTGGCGAACAGTCTCGTCATAATGGCGTATTATCGTAACCCTCGTCTTCGAACAATTGAGAACACGATCTTCTTACTCCTTGCCATCACAGACATTAGCGTGAACGCTTTGGTACAACCGATATATGTGACAGCTGGATTTAGGGTTTTGCTGGGAAAACGCGATTGCCTGGTTTGGGATATCGCTATTTTGTCATCATCATTGTTTCTTGGGCTATCACTGTTAACAATCACTATCCTCAGTTTACAGAGTTATATCACGCTAGCATATCCCTATCGTTTTCAAATGATAACAACTAAGCGTCGTTCAAAAATAATAATAATCCTTTCTTGGCTTCTTATCTCGATTTTAACACTTGTGGCAGCAACGTTTAAATTCCTACCAGTCATCAAATATGCATATATCGGCGTTGTTATCGCAACTTTTTGTGCTGTGATTTTCACCTGGAGTTGGACATATAAACTCGTGTCTCGACATCGAAGGGTTATTGAAACCACGCAGACTCCGTCATCAAACGAATTTGTGAAAGGAAAGAAGATTCTCAGATCAACAATCACCGCTTTTGTGGTAACTTCATGTCTTTTGGGATGCCATTTCCTTGGCTTGTTGATATGTCTTTATGTATTGATTAATCATTGGTTTATTGATCCCAATTTCTATATGATTCTGTTCAATACTTCACTCACATTAATGTATTCAAACTCGCTACTGAATCCTTGTCTTCTGTTTTGGCGGAATAGCAGTTTTAGAATGGAGGCCAAGAGTATCTTCGAGAGACAAACTTCGCCACTATGAACTTCGCCATATATAGGTTGGGTCGTTTCTTAGAATAGCAATTAAGACGTGCTTCCGAACACATCCTGGCGTGCAAATTGTCGCATGACGAGTCTTTCAGATACAATAATTCTTCGAAACCATCACAAAAGTTCACGAAATATACAATATATATATAAGTGGATCCGCGAAATGGATAGCCTCGCAGTATATAGCTCGGAAGAGTGCTTTCCATTGGCTCGACTTTACAATTGCTTTTGTGTTCAGAACAATGACATTGTTTCGTTTTTTAGAAAACCCCATCCAATTGGAGACGACCTTCCGAGGCACTGCTAAGCTTCCCTCTGAAATGCCTGAACGTCTAAATTAAGAAATATATGGAATATATTACGTTCTAACAGTATTTAAAAACTCTTGCTTCACGTAGATGACCTTCGATCGTAGATGACCTTCGATCGAAACAGTTTGCTTAAAATGTAACCATGCAGACACGTGACTTAACCAATTCTATTGCGTGTTGTGTTTAAATTGAACTATAGTATATATGTATGTATAATTATATGTTTGTGTAACAGGTCGGTTGTATAATACTCTGAACTACTTTTCATAGACTAGTTTAAAATGGCGCTTTTATAGAGTGACCAAGTGACCAACATTTTTCAGTAATACATTAATGGAAAGTAACGCCTACCTATGGGATTTTCAATCGCTATCTTCCCTGTGAAGGTTTCCCGACAGTCATATAAACTCGCTATCGCTTTTTTTGGCGAAAAAACAGGCAAACATGAAAACGAATTAGTCGTCATGGGGCAAAACATAGAAATAATTGATGTAGAATGCGTACTTGATCACGAATCATGTCTCCACTTTTTGTCATGCACGCCCTTATAAATCCGCCATGTTGAATTTGACGAGGGAGTGAGAGCTACAATGTATAAACAAAGCTAAGACTAAGTTTCCTTGCCCAAATCTTTTGTCTTGCTGGTTAAATTTGCAGTTTGAGGATAGGTTTGAAATATCATGTTCTTTGAACACAAAAGCAAATGTAGGTGCTGCATCAATTGTGCATCTACTTGCAAAACCCGTGCTGCAAAACTCGTGCATGCACTGTAAAAACTGATTGGTCGAAATGACCAAAAAAAATTGGTCACCTGGATGCATCTGAGAGAACCAATTAAAAATGGTCGTTTTAACCAATAAAATTAACCATTAATTAATTGGTCATTTCAACCAATAATAATTGGTTAATATAACCAAATATTTTTGGGTGTTTTGACCAATTAATAAATGGTTAATTTTATTGGTTAAAACGACCATTTTTAATTGGTTCTCTCAGATGCATCCAGGTGACCAATTTTTTTTGGTCATTTCGACCAATTTTTTTTTGTCATTTCGACCAATTTAATGTCACAACCTATACACTGCATTAAAATGAAGAAAATTTGTGAGTCTTACATCACTGAACATGTAAACATGGAATTTAATAAAAAATATATCAATACAATATAAGACAACTAAATAAACTAGAGCTACCGGTACCTTATAACTACGTGAGAGCAATTGCAAAGGAATACAATTACAATTGCTGTACTGAGTAACCGGTTATATTACTACCTGAAAAGAAAAAAAAAAACAAGCAGAAACTCAACATTTTGAGCGAAGGGTCTTTGCTCAAAATGTTCAGTTTCTGTTTTTTTTTTTTTTTCAGGTAGGAATATAACCACTCAGCACAGCAATTTCAGATTGGTACTACGCACACTGGTACTGGTACAGACAGTTCTAATACAATTACAAGCCTGCCAGCATGAATTGAACCTGCAGCCCTGCAATTCTACTGCAGCCCTCTGACTTAAAGAGTCCTTTTGCCAAGATGTAACCATAACTTTCTGTATAATTATACTATGATGGTGGTGTCACTGGTAGTATATTAAATAAACTGGGATGACACTAGTATTGTATAAATGAACTCTTGGTTAGCTTGATGGATTCTTGGCGCTTGGACTCTCAGGGCTTGATGGACTCTTGGCTGTTAAGGAACTGTTCAGAATCACAGGGCAACAGGTTCCATTCCCGGCACAGTATACTTATTACATAGTTATTGTTCAAAATTTCCATCTACAGAAATTTGGCTTTAACCCATTGAGTGGCAGCACTCTCTCCTTTATGAGTAAAATTGTCTGGCATTAGACAGAATAAATAATAAGGTAGAGCGCATTGCCACATAAAAGGTTAACATTCTCTTCAATGTAGAATATTTACAAATTAATATAATATACCTGTACTGCATGTAGTGTCACTGCTCAATCAAGCATGTCATACAAGTACATTAGTTAAAATTTAAAAGTACAAGCTTCATACCACAAGTCAGCAACTCCATTCCTTGTGTGGTTTGTTAATCCATAAACATACTATCCAGCAATTAAGAATACCATTTTCCAAATAGACCATGAAGTACTTAGAATGCCATTAATGATTATATATATTGCCACTTGTTTACACAACTTTCCTTCTCTTGGGAAGCTTTTATTAATAACTTTTCATTCAGCATCAGGATATATAATGAATCCATATTAAATACAATCTCTATTAAGAAAAAAATACACTATTAAGGTTGATATATAAGGGTCGGCAATTTATTGATTGATTGACAATGAATTTCCTATTTTTGGTTAGTGTACAAATAAACAAGAAATACAAAATTCAATTGCTTTCACTTGACTGTCTTGACATGTTTAATGTAAGGCTAGCATGCACTTGAAGTAACATCTGCATACAATACAACTATTCTCACTGGTAAAAGACTGTTTAAAACACTGGTGCATAACAACTGTTTTTTCCAGTATTCCTAATTGAAAAATATCATTTTATATAATCCAGCGAGGTAGATTTAGTGGCTGTTTATATGAGGTTATGGCACCTGTGTACCTGATCGAGCTGGCCCAGTTTTGGTGAGATCCAGACTTTGTTATTATATTCTATATATTTCAACTTGTGTTTTACTTTATAATATAGAACTGAGCTGGTCTTTTTTAGGAAGATGGGGGCTTTGGTGGCAAAGCTGTTATATGCACTTGCCGTTCACCTGTAAAGCTGCAGGTTCAAGCCTCAGTGAGAACTTTCTCAATGCGACTCAAACTCAGTCCTCATGTGAAGAGTAAAAGTCAACACTCTGTCGAAAGTCATGGGTTTTCTCCAGGCACTCTGGTTTCCTCCTACAGGGAAAGTTGACAGGGTGGGTGATGTAAAAGAGCCAACAGTAATTGGCACATGCTGTTGTGGTGACACCTAGTTGGCAAAGCTAAATAAATAAACTTAAGATACTGCCACAATTGACCCAAAAGGTTGCTAATGCCAAACTAAGATTTTCCATATAAACTATATACAATGACCCAGGAATTGGCACAGTATTAATGCTTTGTTTAACCATAATGTAATCTTCTAAATGACATTTCCCAATCAATTTGAATATTAACCCATAAAGCTGTAGAGTTGGAGTTTCCCCATTGACGAGTAAAATCATTTGGCCAGAGGTGTAACTTAACACTTGCCTGGGGCAAGTTAATATCATGATGGGCAAGTAAACACTTTATCTTGCTGCCCGATTGGGCAAGTTGCCTTGCCACTATTCACTGTCAGATATATTTTGTTTTATAGTGCATGGTCTTGGTTCAAATTTCGTTTATTGTGCACCAAAGCTATATCTGAGGCAGTATAACATAGCCATATAGCCCAGTGGGAGAACAGGTTGACATGTTGTCCCCTTAATTTATTCCCACTACCTAGGTACCCCAAGTGGCCATTGTCTGATGACAAGTGAATTTTATTCAGAGCAACTAATTATCTTCATGATCAACTTGCCCTGAGGGCAAGTGGTCAAAAAAGTAAAGTTACACCACGGCTGGCGGTAGACAAGTAAATAAATTAAGTAGGTCGTACTAGGGCACATTGCGGCTCAATGGGTTAACCAGAGACATTATCAGATTTTTTGGTTAACCTATTAAGCTGCAGAGCTTCCCTACTGAGGAGTAAAAGCGTCTGGCGTTAAGCAAGCAAAAAAGATAAGTAGGGTGTAGTGGGGCGCATTGCGGCTCAATGCATTATAAAAGATCTCTGTGATTTTTTTGTAAGTTACATTTCAAAACTGCATGTCTGCAAAAGTATGTCAATTTATTTTATTGGAAATTATACAACTCATTCTGGGTGATTTGTTTTGGCAAGCATGTTCATCTAAAGAGGCTCATGTAAACAGACATTCATCCAGTGAAAGCGAGCTATAACCAGGTTAGTTACCTGGACTGGCTTGCCTTTATACACTGTAAATCTCGCGGTGTTGCGGCAACACCAAAAAGGTGTAACATTACACTGATTAGGTGTAACGCGGAATTAAACACTGTTCGAGTGTAACATTACACTTCCACAGTGTAGCTTTACACTATTTTAGTGTTTTGGTAACACTTACTAGGTGTAAAGTAGAAAATATCCTATTTACACCTAATTTGGTGTAGATTTACATTATAACGGTGTAACCTTACCTCTTCTCCCTGTTAATTTACACTTTGCGATGGTGTAAATATACACTTATTTCGTTAAAATATGCCAACACTTGCGAAGTGTAAATTTACACTTTTCCTGCCGTATTATTACACCTAGATTGCGTTAAAATACACTGAGCTGCGGTGAAGTAGAAACTAATGTATTAATTATTATTGCGGTGTAAATTTACCCTTAACTAGTGTAAATTTACCAATGATTGTGTATGAGATAACACCATAATAATGTAAATATACACCGGTATGGTGTAAAAAATATGAATGCTTACTTAGTGTAAATCCACACTGAACCTGGTGTATAATTACACTAAGACCATGTTAAGATACACTGATGTAGTGTAAAGTAGACCGAAGTATTGACACCTTTTATGCTGTAAATTTACCCTCAAACGGTGTAAATTTACCCAATTCTTGTGTATGAAATAACACCTTGATTGTGTAAATATACACCGGTATGGTGTAAAAAATATGAATGCTTACTTAGGGTAAATCTACACTGAACCTGGTGTATAATTACACTAAGACCATTTTAAGATACACTGATCTGGTGTAAAGTAGAAACTGAAATATTAACGTACACCTATACTATGCTGTAAACTTACCCTCAAACTGTGTAAATTTAGCGATCTAATTCTCGTGTATGAGACGACACCATGATAGTGTAAGGTGTAAACATACACCAGTGGTGTAAACATACAGAATTCGAATAGTGTAAAAGTTTGTATGGGGACCAAAATATACTGGCCGGCTTACCCTTCACATTAGGGCTTTTTGAAAAGTCGGTGTAAAAGTGTAAAGTATAAACTATTTTATAAGACTACCTTTAAACGGTGTAAACTTAAACGGTGCGTTTTGTAAGGTGTGCCATGCAGACCTCACATTGTTCATTTTTTATTGCAATCTGTTACCTCCACCTCCAAATATGCCCTGCTGGCTATGGTGTACATTATATGTCATAAATCCCTCCTTCTCGGTGTTTATCCTCTACAAAATAAGACAGCTAGAATTTTGAAGATAGAATTAAGAGTTTCTATAATAACCGTACCACCAACCTCGTTCCCAGGGCTTCAGTGTGAGGGTTGCCGCACTACAGTTTAATTTGCACTGGATTGTCCACATGATTGAGATCAGTGCCTTCAGCAATCGCGTGCCATATATGGGCTCCCAGAAGGCTTAGCGGGCACACTTCGAGCGCATCGTTTGGAAATTTAGTATAAACGCTTGTTGATATGGCCGAGAATATGGCCAAGTTTTCTTAATATATTGAAGAAGATAAGAAGAAATACTCCAATTTTTGAACACCCACACAACAACTTTAAATGTAAGTGTTCAACTATGTCAATATTCTGAAGTTTCGTGTGTAAATATGTGCCATAGATTGTTGTATAATTTCATGTATATTTTTAACCGCCGTGCCGTTGGCCGATTGGGTCATTCCATTTATTATCCGCACCCCCCCTATGGATGAGCGGATTCCTACCGGTCAGATATTAGGACTTAGGGGATTCCTACTGGTCAGATATTGGGAATTAACAGATTCCTTTGGCCCGATTCCTACCGGTCAGATATTGCCGTCAAGGTGTAGCATACTATATTGCCAAATATTTATTATGAGAATCATAATAATTTCCAGGGGCGGATCAATGCTGATTTGACAAGAGGGGTGCAGATTTCCCTGGGGGGGTGCATTGGTGCGCTGCCGCTACCGTGCTGACCGGGCTGTTGTGTATATTTTTAGGCATATCGCCATGACCCCTGTTTTGTGACCCCTCCCATGTGATCAACTGATCAAGCATTTAAGTCCCTGAGCTAGGATGGACAAAAAATGCTCAAATGCCCGGCTAGTACTTTAGTAGCTTGTTAAATTAATGCACATAGTATATTTGCAAAGTATTATTATTCTTTATTTAATAATTATTAATGAATAGTAGTATAAACCAATAATATAGTCGTATACAGTAGCTTTTCCGTAGCTTCCTGAGAATATTTCAAATTCATGAAAATCGTATAGTATTATAGTAACAAACTAACAAAGTTTTTAATAAATAAATTAAATAATGAATAGCTTTTTTAAGTTTTCAATTTAGTAATAAGTACATTATACATTTTATACAGGTAGACTAGTTAGTCAGTTAATTACTTAGATTTTAGACCACCTATTGCGCATGTTTCCCCATGCTGTTACGACTTCGTCCAAATCCAGCAAATCAACAACATCTCTGTTTAACGAAATGCATAAAAGATCACTTAATAGGCTTCGTATTTGCATCCCCAGTGAACATCGATTTGCTGCGTAATATGTTTAACTTGTTTGCTAGGACAAATTTTTCTGTGGAGTGATTCTTACTCTTGTCTGATCTTGTAGTGTAGTAACGAACAGAGAAAGCAAGCTCTTCTCTCTTGCCCTTGTCTTTGCTTTCGTCGATCAGTGCACTGAAGCACTCGGCAGTAGCGATCTGATGGCATATCTGGTTCCGTATCTGAACCGCCAGTATAGACAGCATTTCATTGAGAGACGTTTTACTAGTGTAGTCCACAAGAAGCCTTTTAATTATCTGTTATCGCTTGGTGGAGACTTCGAAACTCCTTGTTGGTCTTCAGTTGCATCTTTATAAAAGTTGTCCAGTTACCTGGTTTCTTCGAATCAGCCGCCTCGTCATGGTCCCGGAATGTTATTTCGTTCATTGCAAACCAAATTACATACTGGAACAGAAGTTTAAATTAAAGTACTCTCTGTTGTTTTGAGTTGTTTTCGCTTGGTCGGGAACCAGTTTCGCGAGTATACTTGTATCTTGTCCATCTGATATTCGGACCTTTGCCTTCCATTTCTCGTAGCAATTTTTATGAACTTCTGATTTCTGGTGTTTCACAAAACAACAGAAAGTCGAAGCACAAAGTTTTCATATTTTATTGTCTCTCTCCCTCCGGTTCATACACTTTTAAAATTAAAAGTTGGTCAGAACCTCACCAACGATCTGGAAATTCACTTTGACTTTGTTCGTCTTCTGCCACTGTTCTCGGTTTCGATTCAGCCGTTTCACACGCCAAAATTAGACTTGCGCTCGTAGCTTAGATTTACAGTATTATACTTGGCCTTTTCACTGAATTTTTAGGCTTAGTATTCTACCTAATTGTTTTTTCACGAAAGTTTAGTTTAGTCGTAGCTTTTTATCTGGTCTTTTTATTAAAATTGAATATGCGTTTGGATATTTAATCTTTAGACATTTTTACGTAGTATATTTAGTTTTATAAATTAAAAATACTTGTCTTAGTATAACATATGATATAATTGCATTTGTTGAAGTTATCAGTAAGTTGTACTCTTACTGCTAAATGTATAATTTTCTTTAAATAAAGGTTATAATAATAATAACCTACAGTATGCACGCCATTTCCGAATTTTTCTGGGGGGGTGCTAGAAAATTTTGGGGGGGTGCGCACCCCCCTGCACCCCCCCAGAAAATCCGCCCCTGTTAATGATAGTATATGTTGCTATATGATGTTATATGATGCTATATGATGTTATATGATGCTATATGATGCTATATGATACTATATGATGCCTATATGATAGTATATGATGCTATATGAT